CTTGGCGCCTCAGCCTCCGCCGCCGCCACCACAACAGCAGCATCAGGAGAGGCCGGGAGCAGCCCCCATCAGCAGCACCGGGTAAGGAGGGGTGGGCTTCCGGGCGGGGGAGCCGAGGCTGCGGGCCGGAGGCGGCAGCTCGGTTCCGGCGGGGCGGGCACCGGGGGGCGGGGAGCCCCGGCGAAGCGGGGGGTGGGCCCCCTCAGGTCCCAACAGGTCGGAGGGAGAGGGTCCCCGGGCGGCCACCGGGGCATTTAGTGGCCGTGCTAAGCTCTCGGGGCCTAATCAGGACTCGGGGCCTGGGCCCTAAAGGGAGGCGGGGCGCGTCCTGCCAGCGCCGTCGGTACGGGGAGTGGGGGGGTGAAGAGGTGATCGGGGTCCCAGGCTCCATTACCACGAAGGGTCTCGCGGTCCCCGGCTTCAGCCAATGGGGAGTCAGCTGCAGGAAGGGGTCCCCGGCCGTAGCCAATAGAGGGGGGCGCGCGGCCCACAGTTTGGCCAATGGGGAGGGAGGGATTTGGGAGCCGATTGCTACCTCCCCCTTCTCGGTCCGGCCAGTAGGAGGGCAGCGAGGTGGGCGGGGGAACGGAAGGAGGGACGACTGGGAGGACTGCGGGCCGGGATCTTCCAGCGCGCGCGCGCGCCCGTCTGTACGTGCGCGCGGATGTGCTGTCTCATGACCCGGGCATTCGCGTGCGCCGGTAACACGCAGGGCAGGGGCTGGAAGTGTGCGTGGAGGGGTCGGTCTGGTGTTCGTGGATGAGTAGTGGACGCCACACTCAGTTTCTTCTGTGTGTGTTAATGGAATTGAGTGCGGCGGCTCACGCAGGCGCAGTGGGTTCCGATCGCCGGAGGGGGCATTTTGAAGAGGCCCGTGGGCTTTAGTGCGCAGGCGCGGACCGGGCGAGGCCTCCCGGTGGATGGTTTTTGCGGCTGCGCTGTCCCCAGCGCTGCCAACGGCCCTCTCATCGCTCTCCTCAACCGCCGTTACATCAGCCAGCGAGAAGCAGGGTTACCTGGCGATTGGTGACACCCGCAGAGTGGGTAACAGGCCGAATGAGTAATGAAGTCGAGGGAGTGGGGTGTGGAGGGATAGCCATACTCCCACGGTTTGGGGCATAAGGCTGCTGAAAATGATTGCCTTTTCTGTTTGGGAGGTAATGTGCCAGAGCTAGGTAGTTCCGAATCTGCACTCCCTGAGCTTTCACCGTCACATCTGGGGTGGGTGACTGGTTATCTAATATTGTAGCGTTGGTCTGTTGGCAGCATGCAGCCCTGGCCCCTTGGAGAAAGTGAGAAGGTTGTGTTGCATTAGCCCTTAGAGCAATTGACATTGTTGATTGAGGTCTTTTTTACTGGCATTTAGAGGAAACGTTTACTGGCTTTTAATGCCTGCTCCTTCTCTGTAAGGTGAAGAGTTTTAAGATCTTGTTGATAAATTGACTTGTAACCTCAATCAGCATACTGGTTATGTAGTATATGGTTTTAGGGCTTACTACTAATTTCATAATGACATAAGAGAGATTGGGCAGATTTAAATAACTAGTTCTTTGTTTTCTTCTCTTATAGGGGACAGAGCACAGGAAAGGGACCCCCACAGTCACCCGTGAGTGCCCTTCTCCCCAACCCCCCAAGATACAAGGACCTAAAGATGCATATATGGGAATATGGGGCAGATTAAGTGCAGAGGTAGTCAAATGGGCTCAGAGGGGCTGTGGGGTCCTGGCACATATAGGGTGAATATGAGTACAGTGTGAGCATTTAGAAAGAAAGTGAGATGTTGACTGGTTACTCCTTTATTTCTCTCTCTTGTGTTACTGACAGGTGTTTGAAGGTGTTTATAACAATTCCAGGATGCTGCATTTCCTGACAGCTGTTGTGGTAAGAGGGTACTTAACTCTTACATTTTTTGACGAATGTAATGCATCAGTTTTCTGGAAATTCTTATTTTTTTGTACTATTACAGGGCTCTACTTGTGATGTAAAGGTGAAAAATGGCACCACCTATGAGGGTATTTTCAAGACTCTGAGCTCAAAGGTCAGTGTAGTCAAATTAGCTTATTTTTGGAGTTGCATGGGAGGAGGAGGAGAATGAAATAGGCTCATTGGAGGCATGAACTGGGTAGTGTTGGACAGCACTTTTAATCATTTCTTTAGGCCTGTGCTAAGTAGTGCTGCAAGCAATGAAAGACAAATTTGAGAGCTGGATACTTTATTGTTAAAATGCTTTAAGCTTAAAATTTTTAAATTTTAAGTTTGAGATTTGCTGAGTTTTATGGCTGATGTTGAGAGGACAATGCACATGAGAATGTAGTGTTGGGAGAAGTGTAGGAGGGGTAAGGGAGAAATAGTTATATTTTCGCTTTCACATTTCTTAATGCTGACCCTTGAGTGTTGGGGAATGGGGCTTTTTATAGTTTGAACTAGCAGTAGATGCTGTGCACCGGAAAGCACCTGAGCCAGCAGGTGGCCCTCGTCGGGAGGACATTGTGGACACCATGGTGTTTAAGCCAAGTGATGTCATGCTTGTCCACTTCCGAAATGTTGACTTCAATTATGCTACTAAAGGTATGGTGCTAGGCTGTTGTGTTATATCCGCTCTGTGTGAGTAGAGGGCAGAGAGCAGTATGTGTGCAGGTGGGATATGTTGGCTTGATTTTATTTATTTATTTATTTTTCTTTTCCCTTTTCTGCTGCACTTTTTTTCTGAGGGAGATGGCTGGATTTTTCTTCTTGAAAATATGCCTTGATAGCTAATATATAGTGGGATGAATTCCAGCCTTTGTTGTGGTTCTTCATATTTTCCCTGCTTAGTTTTCAACTTCTTGTTCCTTTTGAACTACGGTGTTAAGTAAGATTGGGCTTTTTATACTCTTCTCCTTCTCCTCCCTTCCCAATGCTGATACACAAGCATACATACTCTACATCTGGGTTTCTTCAACTTCTCTTTGCTCCTCAACTGCCTATGAGGGGGTGAGGGTGAGGGTGAGGGATGTTGGAAAGAAATCTGTGAAGTATCACCTGACACCTGATCTTCAACTCTGCCCCCACAGACAAGTTCACTGATTCAGCCATTGCCATGAACTCAAAGGTGAATGGGGAGCACAAAGAGAAGGTGCTTCAGCGCTGGGAGGGAGGTGACAGCAACAGCGATGACTACGACCTTGAGTCTGACATGGTATAGTCTTCTGTAGAGTTGGGCAGCCAGAATGTGGGTTGTTGACATTGTGGTCCATTCTTGGGAGGGAGAATACTTGCTGTCACCTATTGCTGGCAGTAAGATAGCAAAACAAAAATGCCTGTTCTCTCCCCATCTGTAATTGATGACTATTAACATTTTGCTTTAAGTCATTTGGCTTTTCAATATAACAAAGTATAGACAAGATTGACTACTGTGTAGGTTCGTTTCCTTCAAAAGCAGCTACTTTGGTGCATTTAAAATCTCATGAATGAATGCTTTATTGTTTTGGTATGTTGAATTTGCTTTTCTTGCTGTTTGAACTTTTCATGTTGATACATAGGTCTAGTTCATTGCTTTCAGCTGTGTGTACTGTTCTATTTATATACATACACATGTATATATACACACCAAAATGTATTTGTTCTTTCCTTAGTGGTCTGTGTTTTGTTGCTATTATTTTGTTTTTAAAAATAGTGCCTTGTTGAACTTTTAGAACATGAGTCCCAGGTACATGTGCCAGAATTTCTCTGGTGTATGTACCTGGAAACTGATTTATTAGGTTTTAGGACTTTTCAGTTTTACTAGTTATTGCCAGTTTGTGCTGCAGTTGGTAGTACTAGTTGATGCTCTTACCAGTCATGTTCCTGTTTTCCCACTCTTGGTTTGGTCACATTTTTGTTTTAACTCAATGGAAGGGAAATAACATGTCATTGTTGCTTTCCTTGCTGGGTTTAAAAACATTCTCCTTCTCCCTCCCTAGTCCAATGGATGGGACCCCAATGAAATGTTCAAGTTCAATGAAGAGAACTACGGTGTGAAGACCACCTATGATAGCAGTCTCTCTTCTTACACGTGAGTCTCTTGGTACTTTCAGGTGGTGTGGTTTGGGGTATGGGGTCACTAACAGGAAGCAGATCTCTAGGTGGAACATAGTTTTTGCTTATACCTTTCTGGGTGTCTAGGTTGCCTTCCCTCTACTCCTGGTCCGCCTAGTGAACTGTTCTCTCATGGGTTTTTTCTTACCTTTTCCTGATTTCAGTCTACTCATGGTACAATTAACTACTTTCTAGTCCATCTAACCGTACCTTTTCTCTAGAACTTAGGCACTTTTTTTTTTTTTTTTAAAGATGACCGGTAAGGGGATCTTAACCCTTGACTTGGTGTTGTCAGCACCACGCTCAGCCAGTGAGCAAAGCAGCCATCCCTATATGGGATCCGAACCCGGGGCCTTGGTGTTATCAGCACCACACTCTACTGAGTGAGCCACGGGCCGGCCCTAGAACTTAGGCACTTTTAAGTATCCCTCAGATTCAGAAATATGCCCTAGTGCTCTGCCTGGGACCCAGTAGATGCCCATTAAATAATACGCTGAGTTGTTGAAGGGATTAAACACCGATATGCTTGAGTTGGTGATAGGACTAATAGAGTGTTTTCCCTTTTCCTTCTTTTGTCCCCTGGCACTGGGATGGCGATGGTCTGTGGGTGTTCTCTCAGGGTGCCCTTAGAAAAAGACAACTCAGAAGAGTTTCGTCAGCGAGAGCTGCGTGCAGCCCAGTTGGCTCGAGAGATTGAATCGAGCCCCCAGTACCGCCTGCGGATTGCCATGGAGAATGACGACGGACGCACCGAAGAGGAGAAGCACAGTGCAGTGCAGCGGCAGGCTTCCGGGCGGGAGAGCCCCAGCTTGGCATCCAGGTAGTGGCTGGGGGCAGGAAGGACTATTTGGGCTGCACATAGGATCCAGGGCCTGGGCTAAGAGCCTTGTGCACTGTTGTTTAAGCCTCACAGCCATGTGAGATGTTGGTGGTCAATACATAGTTATTCCCAGTTCTTAGGTTCAGGAGATTGAAACCAAAAGAGGTTAAGTGATTTGCCCAAGGTGATAAGACTAAAACTTGTGGATTTAGAAAAACTTTTTTTTCAGAATTTTGGTGCACTTTTTTTCTGCGTCTTCATCCATATATATATGTATATATGTGCTATTTTTCTCCGCTTTACAAAAATGAAATCTAACAGTACATGATCTGTGTCTTGTAAAAGCTGCACCTTGAACTATGGTCAGGAGTGGATGGATTGTGGAGTACTGGCCATTGGGTTAGGGTTGATAAGGTCATAAGTCTTGTAGCCACAGAACATTTAACTGGGACAGATCTTCAGGTGGGATAGTGAAAGGAGCTAGAGTCAGGCATGGTGGGGGTGGGCTTTAGAAGGAAAGGCTTCATCTTTGTGGGTAACTAACCTTACTTGAACTCTTTCCCCAGGGAAGGAAAGTATATCCCTTTGCCTCAACGAGTTCGGGAAGGTCCCCGGGGAGGAGTTCGATGCAGTAGCTCTCGGGGTGGCCGGCCAGGCCTTAGCTCTTTGCCACCTCGTGGCCCTCACCATCTTGACAATAGCAGCCCTGGCCCAGGTTCTGAGGCACGTGGTATCAATGGAGGTGAGTTATGAAGCAGACTTTTGTGAGGGGCGGGGAAGGGAGTGCTGAGAAAGTGGGAAGGGTAATTGAAAGGATTAAGATGGGTTGGAAGGATGATGCATTTGGTGGTAATGTAATAGCGGGTGCTCTGCCTCTTCTTTTTCTTCATCTTTTAAAAAAATTAGGCCCTTCCCGCATGTCCCCTAAAGCACAGCGGCCTGTAAGAGGTGCAAAGACTCTGTCTTCACCCAGTAGTAGGCCTTCTGGAGAAGCTTCTGTTCCACCTCCTCCGGCAGGTAAAACTTAAGTAGTGTTGGATGAAGAAATGGACAGAAATTGGGGAGGTATATAAATATGTCTGTTTTTGGAATGTTGGGATGGGAATCAGTTTCAAGATAGATGTTTGGAGTATTTGGATTTATCCTTTTTGGGAAAGGATTTTTTAGTTTTACTAGTACAGAAATTCCAAACTAGCAACCCAAGGGTTGCTTCTGGTTGGCAGACGTCTTTTGTTTAGATTTGAATCAGATGCCAGCATTTTAAACAGAAGTCATAGAAAACTTCCAATTTCTTTTGAAATATATAAAGTTCTGCCAACACTGACCATGCCTTTCTGCATGACTCTAGTTGGCTGGAATGGAATCACGACTGCCCCTTGAAGCATTCCATTCTTTTGTGGTGCTCATGAGACCGTTTACCTGCTAATGTTAGTGGCCTTGCCTTCTAGACATTTAAGTTTGTGACCCTGGGTATGATAAAGTGTGGAAACTTTTTTGGTGCTTTTAGTAAGTCACCTGTACGCACTGCTCATTGACCAGCAGTAACCATCGAACAGCTCTCCCTTTTCTTTCAGTGGGTCGGATGTACCCCCCGCGCTCTCCCAAGTCTGCTGTCCCAGCCCCAATCTCAGCTTCCTGTCCTGAGCCTCCCATTGGCTCAGCAGTGCCAGCATCTTCAGTCTCCATCCCTGTGACATCATCAGTCACGGATCCTGGAGTAGGCTCCATTTCTCCAGCTTCTCCAAAGATCTCACTGGCCCCCACAGATGGTAAGTCAGATGGTTGAGGGCTGTGGACGATGTGAAGTGTGGTTCTGGACAGAAGGACCTTCAGGCATCTCTCTCCTTGCTCAGTAAAAGAACTGCCAACCAAGGAACCTGGGAGAACTCTGGAGCCCCAGGAGCTGGCACGGATAGCTGGGAAAGGTGAGGGGTGTTTTTGTTTGGGGTTTTTTTTTGCTTACATCTAATTCCCCTTTGGAAGAGCAGTTCAGTTAGAAAGTTTGTTGGAATCCGGAAGCAGACAATGTCTATCATCCTTTTCATCCTAATTTGTCTTTTAGGATTCTTAAGTGCTCTTTTTTCCTTGGTTTCTTGTCCTCTGGACTACTGGCACTGTATAGACACCTTTGAGAAAAAAATGTATATTTTCTCTTTCTTTGCTGCTTTCTCACAGTCCCTGGCCTTCAGAATGAGCAGAAACGATTTCAACTGGAAGAACTGAGAAAGTTTGGGGCCCAGTTTAAGGTGAGAGAAGTGTGGAAATGAGCTAGGATTTAGCAGGATGGACGGGTGTGTGGAGGGTTTATGGACCAGGTGGGGTAGAAAAGACGACATCAAGCGTGGATGAAAGAAGAAAGCAGGGTCTGGACCTGGCAATGCTGTATGTGTATTTCTCTTCTTCCAGCTCCAGCCCAGTAGCTCCCCTGATGCTAGCCTGGATACTTTTCCTCCTCGGATCTTAAAGGAGGAGGCCAAAGGGAAGGAGAAGGATGTTGATGGCCTATTAACTTCAGAGCCCATGGGGTCCCCAGTCTCCTCCAAGACAGAGTCTGCATCGGATAAGGAGGACAAACCGACTCTGGCACCAGCAGGAGGCACTGAGGGGCCAGAGCAGCCCACACCGCCCTGCCCAAGCCAAACCGGCAGCCCCCCAGCAGGCCTCATCAAGGGGGATGACAAGGACGAGGGCCCTGTTGCCGAGTAAGTGGGGTAGGGAGCTGGGTGGATGTCAGGGGTGATGAGGGGCAGATCGTGAGGATTTTCTTTATTTTTTCTCATAGACAAGTAAAGAAATCAACATTGAACCCCAATGCCAAGGAGTTCAATCCCACAAAGCCTCTGCTGTCTGTGGTGAGATGGGGCAGGAGAATGTGGACTTGGGTTTTCGTGAGACAGACTTGGGAAGAGAGCACTGGAGGAAGCACATCTTCCAGAGCCACTTGGCTGCTAGTCAGTGGGAGGGGATGTTGTAAGGTGTAGGGATAGCAGCAGTTGGGCTGGCTCAGGGAAAACAGAGACAAGTCTCCAGGGTTGGGTGACAGGGCAGCCTGATGAGTCTGGCAAGTTTTTAGAAACTTGGGTATTTGGCTCAGGGAGTGTTCGAGTGGGCTAGTTATGAGCATCGGCTTCATCCAGGCCAACTGGCTTGGCTTGAACCCCTGTGCTTACGAGGTTTGTGATCTTGGACATGCCACTTAATCTCTCTGCCTCAGTTTCCTCACCTATAATTTGAGAATGCCCCTCTTAAAGGGTTTGATATGACGCTTAACCAAGATAAAATGCAGAATGTATTTGGCACAGAGTACTCCAAGAACGCTGGCTATTGTTGTTATTGGCACAGCTGGGAGTGGAAGAGGACACAAAAATAAAATGTCCTCTGTTGTCTCCTACAGAACAAATCTACCAGTACCCCAACTTCTCCAGGGCCCCGGACTCATTCAACTCCCTCCATCCCGGTGCTGACGGCAGGCCAGAGTGGGCTGTATAGCCCCCAGTACATCTCCTACATACCTCAGATCCACATGGGACCAGCTGTGCAGGTAAGAGACTGGGTGGGCCAGGGCAAGAGGGTTGGGGTCTGGGTGGGCTGGCTGGGGGACCTGTTGTGGGCATTTGATTTGTAAGCAGGTTATACAGCTGTATATATGTTCTTGTTCCTAGGCACCTCAAATGTATCCGTATCCTGTATCCAGTTCAGTGCCTGGGCAGCAGGGCAAGTACCGGGGAGCAAAAGGTGAGCAGGGTCGGGAGGGGCAGTCAATGGGACTGCCCAGTACCTCCTGGCAGATGGAGCTTGAGCTTTGCACTATTTTCCGCCCCACCCTCAGGCTCCCTGCCCCCCCAGCGCTCGGACCAACACCAGCCAGCCTCAGCCCCTCCAATGATGCAGGCCGCGGCCGCTGCTGGCCCACCTCTGGTGGCTGCCACACCTTATTCTTCCTACATCCCCTACAATCCCCAGCAATTCCCAGGCCAGCCTGCCATGATGCAACCTATGGCCCACTACCCCTCACAGGTGACTGTGGTGTGGAGGGAACTCAGGGTTCAGAGCTCCTGCTAGGGATCCCATCTTCTCCACTTCCAAGACTCAGGAGCTGGGCGAGGGAGGCAGGCCATGTTCTGGGTGGTGGTGGCCAGCTGCAGGATTAGTGGTGTCAGACTTGGGCTGATGTTCTGGCTCTGTCAGGGCCTGTAACAAAGCATGGAACACCTGTGCCTTAGTTTGTTCCTCTGACATGTAGGTAAAGTAGCTCCTGTATGTCAGGATTGTTGAGAACCTTAAATAAATAAGGTGGTAGAGGGCCGGCCCGGTGGTGCACTGGATAGTGCGCCGCTTGGGAAGCGCGGTGGCGCTCCCGCCCGAGGGTTCGGATCCCACATACAGACCGGTTCCCGCTCACTGGCTGAGCGAGGCGCGGGAGCAACACCGAGGGTTGCGATCCCGTTGCCGGTCCCGGTCCGGTACGGGGCGACACTGAGGGTTGCGATCCGTTGCCGGACATGGAAAAAGACAAAAAAATAAATAAATAAAAAATAAGGTGGTAGAGGTGAGGCCCAGGCAGTGCTGTGCATACAGTGACTGGGCGGGAGGATGCACCTCCCCAGTCAGCTGTGCTTACCACTTCTCTCTGTCCCACAGCCTGTGTTTGCCCCCATGCTTCAAAGCAACCCGCGCATGCTGACGTCGGGGAGCCACCCCCAGGCCATCGTGTCATCCTCCACCCCTCAGTACCCTTCTGCAGAGCAGCCCACTCCCCAAGCCCTGTATGGTGAGTTCTGTTGTGCCTTCACCCCGCTTTGCTCTGGGCTCTTAGGCTCCCTCGGTGTGCTCAGCACTGGTTCTCTCCCCCTTTCCTGCTGTAGCCACTGTTCACCAGTCCTATCCGCACCATGCCACGCAGCTCCACGCCCACCAGCCGCAGCCGGCCACCACACCTACTGGGAGCCAGCCGCAGTCCCAGCATGCGGCCCCCAGTCCCGTCCAGGTGCCTGCCATGGGGGATCTGGATGGTTGGGGCAAGAATGGGTGGCTGGAAGAGAGGGTAGAGCTAGGGGTCATTCTTCAGTGAGGAGGATTGGGGGGGGTGCAGTGGGTGGTCGGTCTAGGTGCCAGAGGAGTGGGTAGCACTTATGCTTCCCCTCCCACTCACAGCATCAGGCGGGGCAAGCCCCACACCTGGGCAGTGGACAGCCACAGCAGAACCTGTACCACCCAGGGGCCCTGACCGGCACACCGCCCTCTCTGCCACCGGGACCTTCTGCCCAGTCCCCTCAGAGCAGCTTCCCCCAACCAGCCGCTGTGTATGCCATCCATGCCCACCAGCAGCTGCCCCACGGCTTCACCAACATGGCCCATGTTACCCAGGTAAGAGCCCAAGGGACCACTTCCTCTGGGTCTGTTTGCCAGAGGACATGAACCATGGGACTATCCCATTCCTGAGTCGCCAGTACCACCTTTGCAAGAGCGCTTCCTGATGCCAGGCTTCTCAGAGCCCATCTCAGACTTCTGGGGCGCTCGCAACTACTTTTTGTTCTCTACAGGCCCATGTCCAAACTGGAATCACAGCAGCCCCACCCCCTCACCCTGGGGCTCCCCACCCGCCCCAGGTGATGCTGCTGCACCCACCCCAGAGCCATGGGGGGCCCCCCCAAGGCGCAGTGCCCCAGAGTGGGGTGCCTGCACTCTCAGCTTCCACACCCTCACCCTACCCCTACATCGGACACCCCCAAGGTGAGCAGCCTGGCCAGGCGCCTGGATTTCCAGGAGGAGCCGATGACAGGATTCGTGAGTTCTCGTTAGCTGGGGGAATTTGGCATGGAAGAGCTGAGGGGCTGCAGGTGGGGCAGGATGCACGGGTTCTGGGTGGGGAGTGAGGGGTCTTGGAGGCAGGGCTGTCCCACAGGGCGCCCGCCGACCTGCACCTGTCTGTGAAGTATGTAGGGTGGGCAGAAGCCACAGTCGCCGTCGCCAGGGGCTTGCTCCTGGCTCTGTCCTTTGCTTCCCTCCGTCCTCGCTCAGTTGTGATCCAGCAGCCCCCCTCCCCACTGCCTCCCCAGCTCTCAGTGACCCCGACTGTCTCCTGACTTAGCCGAGGTAAGGTCAGCGCAGCAGACAGGGTCAGACTGGGGTGTGGGGGGCTGAGCTGGGCACACGAGTAAGGGCTCTGGCTTATTGGGTAACAGCGATTGACCTGTGCTTCTGACAGCCCCATGAGACACCTTGAGGAGGCCGCTCCTACCCAAACACACCCCCACCCCACCCCCACTGGATGGCATTGGATGAAGGGACAGCTGCTTGGGTTCTAATGCTCCTGCTCTCTTCTCTTTCCCCTCCAACCAGTTCAATCTCATCCCTCCCAGCAGCTCCCCTTCCACCCCCCGGGGAACTGAAGATTGTCCTGGCCGCGACCTGAGACCTCCATGAGTGGAGGGAAGAGTGATCTATGTCTCTTCCCCCAGCAGCTCGGACCAGTCCCAGCCCCCCAATTCCCCCTTTCCCCTGGGGGAGCTGGGGAATTCCTGCCAAGCACCTTGAATGGGAGGGGCCTCAAAGTGGGCAGGGCCAGGGTCCAGCAGGGATGGGGGGGTTCCTGCTCTGCCCCTGCCCATTTCCCACCCAATTTTGCCCTCCCATCCTCTCATTTGTTCCCCCGCTGGAGACTGAAGATCTTTTATTTTCTATTATTTATAACCTCAGACTTGGGCCCCCTGTTCTTTCTTTCCCATTAACTTGAATGACCTGCGTGAGAGACGGACAGACAGATGCCCCACAAGGATGGTTGGACAAGGACTTTTACTTTTTATTACATAAAAATGTTAAAAAAAATAAAAATAAAAAAAATAAAATTTTAAACTAACTTAACCTGCCTATAGTTTCCTCTTTAGAGAGACCAAAGTTATAGCTGTCAGTCTTATGGGGTATTAATAATACATTTATCTCGTTATCTCTTCCTTTCTCATCACAGGAAAATTGTAGCCAGTTTCTCTAAACCTCTAGGGTAAGGGGGAACCAAATCAGGATCTTATGCTTTTCATGTGAAAGGGAATTAAGACTTAATGTTCTAAAGTTGTGTAGTTGATGTCTGTGAGGTTCTGGATAACTTGATGGCTAAAAGTTTGTGAGATCGGAGCCCTGTTCCCATGATGGGGCAGTGTAGCCGTGCAGGCCCTGAGCAACTGCTGACTTCCTGGTGACTGTTTTCTTACTTGAAATTGGTCTCATCTCGAGGTATGATTTGAAGTTTGCATTTCTCTTTTTGTTTTGGTGGATGGCTGGTTGAAGTTTTCATTTCTAATACGAGTACAAGTACCTCATGAATTTTGTCCACTTGTATGTTGAAAACTGCTTCATTGTTTCTGGCCATTGGAAATAAAGGGCTAATTAATTAGTACACAGCTGAGAGGTCTTGGGTGTGGGTGAAAAGCTGTAAAGATGAAGCTGCTAGTGGAAGGAAAGGGGAGACGGGGGAGAAGATTGTTGTTCTGTTTGGGTGGTAATGGTGGGTTTGTTTGGTGGCTGGCCAGTATGGGGATCTGAACCCTTGACCTTGGTGTTATAACACTGCTCTAACCAACTGAGCAGCCGGCCAGCCCAGGCAGGACAAGAAGATTGAAGCAGGGGGTGTAGAAGTGAGAGAGCTCTCAGAGGATATGGCAATGGGGTGCGTGGGTTGGGAGCAGCTATGAAAGAACCAGGAGCCGGAAAGCCTTCAGGTGGGCTCAGGACGTTTGAAGTGCAGGTAGAAATCACAGGTGTCTGTTATACTTTGAATGTAATTGCAGGTATGACTGGGTCATACTTGTAGTGCTTTATGGGAGGCTTGCAGATTGCTTATAATTTATCATATATTTTTCATCTTTGAGCAGAAATCTCAAAGTTGGAAGGGAACTTAGCCTTCATCTGGTCAGGAATTCCCCTTGAAACCTTTCAGCCTTGCCTTGAACACTGAGGAAGTTAGGAGAAAGAATCCTGCCCTATCATTGGCTAGTACTTTTTTTTTTTTTTTTTTTTTTTTTTTTTT